TGACCCGAACTGTGTGTCCTTGCTTCCTTTGAGCTTCAGATTCAAGTGAACCTTTGGCTCTCAAGACCCCTTTGAGTTCTTAACATTCTAGATCCTCCCGGGTGTGAATCCACTGAAGTCTGTAGCCGCCAGGATGAACCGAATGTCACCCTCTATGGGCACATGTCCCAGTGACAAAAGAATGTGCTCAATTCCATCACCCCAAGGGTGTGTGGGAGGGTGTGGCGACTGGCCCAAGCGTCTGCCAGGACTGTCTGTCAGAGCTGGAGAGTCTTTCGCTGTGTCTGCAGAGAGACGTGGAGTAGGCTGCCTCCCGTGGAAGGGCTGCTGTCCTGAAGGAAGAGGCCACTGGGTGAGCTGTGAGCCAGTGCAGGAAAGTGTTGGGTGCTATGAGACAGGGAGGGCTTGTCGTGCTTCAGAACCATTGAGAAAGATGGGGGTGGAAGGGCTCCATTCCTTCTCAGTACTGTCAATAACAGGCATGATTTCAGGGTGAGGTCATGATTTGGAAGGGATAGGATGGGCAGACTTGAGCAATTTCCCCCTGAGAGCTCCAAGAAGGGCTGCACTTTGGCTCCGAGTCGATCTGCTGACCCACTTCCGGAGGTCCTGGGACCCCAGGGGCAGAGAAGAAGCCTTGTGACATTTTCTGATCTGCTGGCCTGCTCTCCCTGCCTTCTCTGAGCTCCTTCTAGCCCAGGCTCAATGCAACCCCTTTGTTTCTGGCTCTCCAGGAAGCTCCAAACCAGAACTAACTCTACACTCTCTCTCTATCAAGTTACCCCCCACCTTCCAAGAGGTACAGGCCTTGGGGGAGGGGCCGAGTCTTGCTGCATGTGTTTTCAGGTCCCCCAGTCCTCCCCCAGCAGGGAGTGAAACTACCAAAGTAGTCTCGCCCCAACTAAGCACATACTCTGTCTGCATCAGCAGCAAACAGCTTCTCTTGCACCTCGGGAGGAAGTGTTAATGAGGAAAGTGGTGGGGAAGGGTTGTGCCTGCCTGCGGTTATAACTGTTTGCTCCTTTTAGCTCCTGGGGATCGAGGGGCTTAAAGGAGGAGCGTGCCTTCTTGAGAATGGGGGCAAGTGGAGAAAGCTGCCACCGGTACATAGAGGCAGTGCGTCCAAGCGCTCAGGCGCTACTGTCCCGGCAGCCAACACTGTGGGGTGGAGGGGCTTGCGGGACCACTAGTTTTTGTTCTGCTGAGGGGACATTAGGAGGGAGGAGACTGGAACCCATGGGTGGAGAGGGCTGAGGAGGGGAAGACTGGGGAGAAAGGGAGAGCATCTGGCAGCCTTGGGAGAGGAAAACTTTTGGGAAAGCAGAGACATTTAAGGAAAATGCTGCCCCACGGGCACTGAAGCTGCCTGACAGTCCACTTTTATGGAGATGAATTAATGTCGGTGCCCAGCAATGGATGGGGGCCAGCTTAGAGGGCCAGAGCTTGGGTGGGCCAATGGGGTCCAGACACTCCTGGGTTATAGCAGGAAGTGGGGTTCTAGTTCCCAGAAGGGGCAACAGCTGGGGGGTTGGGGGCTAGGTCAGCTGGGAAGAGGCTGCTTTGCGGGGTCTGGGAAGATGGCTAGGAGAGAAGGTGGGAGGCTTTAAGAGTAGGGAGACCCTGACAAGAAAAATTTGTAAGATAGGGAATACTACTTGGCCAGAAAAAGGAGGGAATTTTATCCTATGTGACAGCAATGGATGGACCTGGAGAGCATTATGCTAAGTGAAGTAAGACAGTCAGAGAAAGACAAATACCACATAATTTCACTCATCTGTGGAATCTAATGACCCAAATGAACTTACAACAAAATATAGACAAACTCATAGATAGGGAGCAGGCTGACAGCTGTGGGATGGGGAGCGAAGAGGCTGGATGAATCAAGCAAAAAACGAAAACAGAGACAGAGAGAGGGAGAGAGACAGCTCTCCCAGGAACACGGACAACAGTGTGGTGACTGCTGGGGAGGGAGGCGGAGGAGGGTACAGGGTGGGTAAATGGTGATGGACATAGCTGGTGACCACACAACACAGTGTGTAGCTGACATGTTATAGAATTGTGTACCTGAAACCTGTGTAATTTTGTTAACCAGTGTCACCCCAATAAATTCCATTAAAATTTAAAATAATAATAATAATAATAGTGGGAAACTATGTTGGAAAGCCTCAAGTCCTGGACAAGTGAAATGATATAGTCAGGAGGGGAGGCAGGAGTGGACAGGGCATACAGGTCACTGATTCTAATCTTTTTCAGTCTGTGCATCAATGAACTTGACCAACCTCACAAAAGAGCTGAGTAGATTACTTATTATCTCTCACTTGGGCTGATAAACTGCCCCCAGAAGGGCTCCTACCCCCAGCCGCTCCCTCCCTCCAGTGTGTCTTCCACATACAGTGACACTAAATCTTCGAAAAGTCCAGTTCCCGTGGCTTCATTCTTATCTGAAGTCCTTCAACGACCCTTCATCACTCGCCCACCAGAGTTAGTCTGACCCCTCCACAGGGCAGGCGGCACCGTGGAGTCAGGCTCTGCCCGTCTTTCCAGCCTGGTCCATGACCATGCCCCCTCACACTCATCACAATGAACTACACACAGTTCCTCTAACACCACTTGCTTTTCCACACCTTAAAGCTTTTGCATATGCTTTTATTCCTTTTCCCAGAGTACTTTCCCCAGCTCCATTGCAAACACCCCAGAAGCCTTCTATGACCCCCCCTTCCTGTTACTGTTCCCCATAGCACCTTGTATACAGCACTAGGCTGGCACTTCCCTGTTGTACCGTCATCGCATGATCTTCTGTCGGTGTGTCTGTGACTGGTGAAAGGACAGGACCGAGTCTGTTCTTTGTAGCCCAGAACCTAGCTCAGGGCCTAGCTCATTGTTGGCATTGAGAACATGTTCATTGAATGACAGAATTTGCAACTCAAAAGGGCCCACCTAGAAGACACCCTTTGGGGACTCTGTCTAGCTGACAGAGACCCCCTTTTCCATGAGAACTGCCCCCAAACACCAACTGGACCATCGGTGGACATGTGAACTGAGCTGGGCCAAATGGACTCTCAGGAAAGTGGAACTGAGTCTGAGAAGCAAATTTGTTTCTGGAACCACTACACCGAAACCTGCGAGTGCAAACATTGCGAGGCATGCTTACTCCATCATCCAACCTAGACACTAGAGAAAGTCACTCCTGAAGGGAAGAAATGGGCGTGGCCAGGTAGAGGACTTCAAATGGCTTTCTGATCCCCAAGTCCAGCCCTCTCCTGAGACCCTGATGGAGTCCTGTCCTGGGTTCTGGGAGATACCCCTGTTTACTAATAACTTGTCCCCAAATTTGTGCTAGAGCCACACAGGATTTCTCTTCCTTATACAGTCCTTTCCGCACAAGGCAGCCTTTGCCCACGGCAGAGTTACTCCGGGTTTTCTCTTCAAAAAAACTTTTATTTTAATACATAAATTATGCTTGGACATAGATTAGACTTTAAATCAACATACCCATGTTGAATTAATTGGCCACATAATTTATAGGACCCAATGCAAAATGGCAAATGTGCTATCCTTTCTTCAAAAAGTACAATTAAATAAAGGTACTAAAATACAAACCTTTCCCCTTTTTTCTGCAATCTCTCTTTTGATTTTTCATGGTGTATATTTGCTATACAGTGTCTAAGTAAATGAAAATAAAAATTTTAAATCATTAACATGAACTTTATTACTTATCTTTATATTGTGCCATGCCCATGTGGAGAATCACCAAAATTACAATCTGTATTTCTTGGCTCCTCCCAGAAAATTCATCAGGCTGTTGTGAAGAGATGATCCCAAGTCTCCCCAGGCACTGACTGAGCTATCTGATGGAGAACCGTCAGGTATGGGGATACTTTGTGGGGCAAGTGCAGACCCTCGTGAGCTCCTGCAGTTCCCATCCTGAGACTCAAGCCCAGCAAGCTGGACAAATGCTGCATCCTCCTTCCCACAGATGTATGTGCTATGCCCTGGCCAGGGTCAGGGAAGTCCAGCCAAGCATCTCCTATTACAGCAGGCTGGCTAACATACCCCACAGCAGACAAGTGAACCCCAGGGTCTTTAAACCTCCACACCAGGATGTGCTCAGTATCTGGTGGGAGAGATATTCACCCTCACTGACTTACCTGCTGAATGTACCACAGAGCTGCTAGCCAGGGGTGCAGTGGCTATCATTATTATACCCAGTCATAAGACCCTGCAGAGCATGCACACCTTACCCAGACCCTCCCTGTATGCACACCAGGCCCTCACCAGGGACAAAGGGCAGCAGTGGTCACTGAATGAGGGAGGGGAAGGCTAAGCACAGAGAGCTGGGAAGTGGTGGCCAAGAATGCATCCCAGGGAGATGGGTAGGCTGTGGGAGTTGGTACCACGTGTGAGCCAAGGCTCCAAGCCCCTGGTGCATGCTCCAAAGTCCTATGGGGCTTCACTTACAAAACCCACATTCGAAGATAAAATTAAGTATCTCAAGGCAGTGGCTACAGAGCATTAAATCCCAAGCACTGAGCTCTGCTGAGCATGGAACCCTGTGTGACTGTACTAGTTACCTACGCCCATGAAGCTGGCCCTGTACACACGAGGGAGATCTCCAAGTCCCACTAAATAACAGGAGGACAGGAAGTTGAACAAACACTTCACACACATATTAAAGAAACTTAGAACACTCAGACCCATAAACCAAAAACACTGCTCACATCTAACCTGGCGGATGAGCTAAAGAATAGGCTTTTTGTCTTTACTCCCTTCAGCCCAGACAGCAGAACTGACCAGAAGCTGTAGCATGTATGAATGAACTGGAATTAGATTTCTGAGCATTAAGCCAGGCTTTATTCCAAAGCATAATGCCTTTAGTTGTTCAAAGGGTATTTCATAGAAGATAGACTACTATAAGAGCAACAGAGAGGAGGAAACTTGAGTAGTTTCCTTTGCCTTAATAACTTATGCTTTTATGGCCTAGCAGTTCATTTCCCAGAGGTTTACAGGAAAAACTTCCTGTTGGGATTGATTCCAAATAAGGCCTTTCGTATTTCTGGCATCTTTTGCTCGGCTATCAGATCCAGCCGACTTTCCAGGGTATTGGAAATCATTATTCTATAATTTCCACTGTAGACCTCCACACCTCCCACTGTGTTCATAGGTAGGTGCACCTCTCGATCAACTTGGACTTTCGCCTGTTTTTGTGAGACTTTCATGTATTCAGGGGTGGCTTTTTGCACTATAGCCTCTACTAGGACGTGGTCCTGTGGCCTGCAGCGTACAATCATCACAGGCTCCAGCAGTCGGAGCAGACTCTGGAGCACTAGTTTATACAACAGCCCCTGGTATACTTCTGGGTTTTCCACCAGCCTGATGAGTTTCACCTTCATATCATCCAGCAGCTCTGAGACGAATTCATTTTGAGCTGTCAGGACCCTCAGCCTTGCTTGATTCCTTATGGAGGATATATAGATTTTCTTCTGCTGCTCTATCTGCTTTTCCTTTTTCTCATAGTACTCCATAATCTTCGTTCGTTGAGTCTGCACAAGACGTACTTTCTCAATGCTGAATTCCTCCTCAGACTTGGCATCTATTTCTTCTACCTTTTCATTGGCTTCCTGCTCAATGAAAGCCAGCATGTGCTTAATCCGCTTCTGCACCTCAATATCATTCAGGGCCATGGCTGCTCCTGGAGAGGGAGATGGAGGGAGAGCTGGCAGACCCTTTGGTTCCTTTGATTAGGGCAGAGTTTCAGGAGAGTCTCCAGAGTTCCATTTCCTTAAATGTGGAGTGCATAAGGGGAGGAGGGAGAGAGTCAGCATCCAGAGGGAAGGATCTTGGAGACCATCTATCCACCACTTATTTCACAGATAAGGAAACTGAGGCCCAGAGAGGGAAAGCAACCTGTCCTAGATCATACCTTAGAAGAACAAAGACTTGAACTTGGATCCCTAGAGTCCTCTCTCTACCACACTCACCAACTTTCTGTCATCAGTTAATAACGAGACAATTAGGGCAGACATAATCCAGAAGGTTTCTAGTCAGTGATGGCTCAGTACTCAGGAAACATTACTCCAGATGCCACAGAAATAAAACTAATTACAAGACTACTATGAACAATTATATGCCAACAAATTAGAAAACCTAGAAGTGGATAAATTCCTAGAAACATACAATTTATCAAGACTGAATCATGAAGAAACAGAAAGTCTAAACATACCTATAACTAGTATGGAGATTTTACCAGTAATTAAAAACCTCCCAACAAACAATGCGTAGGACCAGATGGCTTAATTGAAGAATTCTACCAAATATTTTTTAAACAATCAATGCCAATCCCTCTCAAACTCTTCTCTCCAAAAATTAAGAGGAGACACTTTTATGAGGCCCACATTACCTTGACACCAAAGCCAAAGACACTACAAGAAAAGAAAACTACAAGACAATATCTCTGATGAACACAGATGTGAAAATCCTCAGCCAAACACTAGCAAACTGAATTCTACAGTGCATTAAATGGTTCCTACATCAGGAACAAGTGGGATGTATCCCTGGGATGTAGGGATAGTTCAACATACAAATATCAATCAATGTGATACGCCACATTAACAGAATGAAGGATAAAATTACAGGATCATTTCAATAGATGAAGAAAAAGCACTTGAGAAAATTCAACACCCATTCATAATAAAAAAAAAAACACTTAACAAACTAGGAGTAAAAGAAAATTATATTACACGCAACAATAAAAAACAGAAAGATTTACCTCTAAGATCAGGAACAAAGCAAGGATGCCCCTTCTTACCACTTTTATTAACATGGTATTAAAAGTCCTAGCTACAGCAATTAGGCAAGAGAAAGAAATAAAAGGCATCCAAATTGAAAACAAAGGAGTAAAATAATATCTATCCCCAGCTGACATGATGTTGTATTTAGAAAACCCTATCAATTCCACACACACACACACACACAAACATGCTAGAACTCATAAACCAATTCAGCAGTTGTGGGATACAAAATCAACATATAAACATCGGTTGTGTTCCTATACATTAAAAATGAATAATCTAAAAAGGAGCCCTGGTTGGCGTGGCTCAGTGGATTGAGCACTGGCCTGTGAAGCGAAAGATCACTGGTTTGATTCCCAGTCAGGGCATATGCCTGGACTGCAGGCCAGGTCCCCAGTTGGGGGTGAGGGAGAGGCAACTGATTGATGTTTCTCTCACACATTGATGTTTCTCTCCCTTTCTTTCTCCCTCCCTTCACCTCTCTCTAAAAATAAAGAAATAAAATCTTAAAAAAAATGAAATTAAGAAAACAATTCCATTTACAATATCATCCAAAAAGCCAAAAAAAGTAGGAATAAACTCAACCAAGGAAGCTAAATATTTGTACACTAAAAACTACAAAACATTGCTGAAAAAGAATTAAAGAAGACAAATAAATGGAGATATCCCATGTTAATGGATTGGAAGAAAATATTGTTAAAGATGTTTATACTGTCCAAAACTACCTACAAATTCAATGCAATCTCTGGCAAAGTCCCAATGGCATTTCTTCTTTTGAAGAAATAGAAAAATAATCCTAAAAATTTGTATGGACTCACAAAGGACCCTGAATAGCCAAAACAGTCTTGAAAGAAAACAAAGCTGGAGGCCTCACATTCCTGACTTTAAAACATATTATAAATCTACAGTAATCAAAATGGCATGGTACTGGAATGAAGACAGACATATAGACCAATGGAACAGCACAGAGAGCCCAGAAATAAGCCCACATATATACAGTGAAATGATTTTTGACAAGGGTATCAAGACCACACAATGGAGAAAGAACAGTGTTCTCAACAAATGATGTTGGGAAAACTGAATATCTACATACACAAAAATCAGCTCGAATGGTTTAAAGACTTACACATAAAACTTCCAATTATAAAACTTCTAGAAGAAAACATGGGGAAAATCCTCATAATATTATTATTGGTCTTGGCCATGACTTCTTGGCATGATGCCAAAAGCAGAGGCAACTAAAGCAAATGGGACTATAGTAAATTCAAAATCTGTGTGGCAGAGAAAACAATCAGCATAGTGGTAAGGCAGCCTATGGAATGGAAGAAATATTTACAGACCATATATCTAATAAGGGATTAATATCCAAAATATATAAGAAACCCCTACAACTCAATAGCAAAAACAAAAACAAAAAAAGGAAGAAAATGGAAAAAAAAGAATAGACATTTCTCAAAAAAAAAAACGCACAAATGCCCAAAAAGTTTATGAGAAAATGCTCAACATCACTAATCATCAGGGAACTAAAATCACAACCACAGTGATATGTCACCTTACGTTTGTTAGGGTGACCATTATCCTCCCACCCCCACCAAAGCAGAAAATGAATGAGTTCAAGAGGATGTGGAGAAATTGAAACCCTTGTGCAATATTGGTGGGAATGTAAAATGGCGTAGCAGCTATGGAAAACAGCATGGAAGTTCCTTTAAAGGTTAAAAATAGAACTACCATATGATCCAGCACTCCCTCTCTGGGTATTTATCCAAAAGAATTGAAAACAGGACCCCCCAGAGATATCTGCCACCCTCCCCCATATTCACTGTGGCCGTATTCACAAAAGCTAAGAAGTAGAACCAACCTAAGAGTGCCCCTGAGAGTTGAATGGATAGAGAAAATGTTGTCTGTACATACAATGGAATATTATTCTGCCTTCAAATATGACAAGGATGTCCTGTCACATGCCATATTGCAGATGGATCTTGACCTTAAGTGAAAAAAAAAGCCAGTCACAGGACAAATGCTGCATGATCCTGCTTAAAGGAGGGATCTACGCAAACAAATTTATAAAGGCAGAAAATAGGAGGGTGGTTGCCAGGGGCAAAGGGAAGAGGCAGCTGGAGAGTCGATGGGTATAGAGTTTCGTTCATGCAACGTGAAAAAGTCCTAGAGATTCGCCGATAAACATTGTGCATGTAGTTTACAGTGTGTTGTAACTTAGAAATTTGTTAAGAGGATAGATTCCAGGTTATGTATTTTTTAACACTATGAAAAAATAGAATGCTCTCCCAGAAAGATGTGCCACTCACCACCCTTGGTGGAAAATGACCCAGCATGGTGACAAAGACCAGGACTTTGGGCTCAACCTTACAAACTGTTGTCGGAAGTTCAAAAGAAAATTCCCCCACTAATTGAGAATGTAATTTTTTGAAAAACTGCACTTTTGTAATCAGAGCAAAACATTCTCTGCTCCTAAATAACACAACTCAATTAAATGGTCAGGGGGAAAAAGGATCCCTGGGGAACCCTGCTGGTCCCTGGCGTTGGGAGCCATCATCAACGAAAGCAGAGAGAGCAAGAGATCCAGGAAGCCCCAGGTTATATGTGTAGAAGAAAAAAGTGTACGAGAGGAACTCTCACCAGTCCACTGCCAAGGGCCAGCCTTTGCTCCGGCGCCGGGAGTCTGCAGGCAGAATGTGGAACTTGGAACGCACGCTAGAACCTGGCACTGTTTCTTCCTTCTTTCTGCAGACGACCCTCACAGTCTGCCCAGGCAGCTTGATCCAAAGAGCCAGGCTGTCACTGAGGGAGGCTGGCCAAGTCTGCAAGAGGAGGCCAAGTGGGATTTCCTTGGCACATAGGCCATGCTGGGGGCTCCCCGGGCCTGCTTGGAATCTCAATTAAGTTGGCATAGTGAGGGCTTCAGGTCTGGGATGGGCTCACCTTAACCAAGTCATCAGAAATGGATACGTGCGTGAATCAGGCAGCCAGTTTATTAATTTACTAATGAAAAATACAGCTGTCATCTTGGCAGATCCTGGCCTTTTTTTCCCTCTGTACGTGAGTTGCATGGGAAGGCGATCCAAAAGCGGTTTAGTGAGAAACCAGAGCAAGCAAAATTTGCCAGATGGTCTTTAAGGGGGCCACACCCACTGCAGGGGCTGGCCTGCTCCGGTGGGTGACGAGGATATCTCCAGGCCCAGACAGGGCGGACATGGGCATGGCCAGCCTCCACGAGAAGGGCTCCAGAGTCAGCTTGCCGGAATTCAGACCCTAGTGCTACACTTACCATTTTGTATGACTTCGGCAAAGCAGCTCCTCCCTTGAGGCCTTGGTTTCCTCAACCGTATAATGGAAATAATAGCATCACCATCACAGGATTATTGTGAGGATGCAATAAAAGAAATGAACTTTTAGCGTAATGCTAAGCATGGAGTTGTCAGGCTTGGTACTTATTATCATCATTACTACCACAGTCACTATTACCAGTACCTCTTCTCCTCTGCTTGGGCCTCATTCCTGCTCAGTATCTCTGTGTAGACAGAGTACCTGTGGCTGATTTGGTTTTCACTCCCCAAAGGAAGTGGGAACGCACCCTAGTCTTCCTCCTTGTATTAAATTTTGTAGTCCTGCCTGGAGTTTGGGAAGCTCCCAGCATCTCACCGCACCCTTACCCCGTCTCAGGAGGCCCAGCCACATCCTTGGTGATGGTGGGCGAAGTCCTAGATTCCAGAGCCCCTGGGGCTAGGGTGGAGCCACCTCATAGCCTAGTACCAGTCCCACATTCTTGCTTCTAAACAGTTCATCAGTGCAGGGACCTGAAGGCAGCTGCAAGGTGGGGCAGGGTTGAGAGTCAGGACTGAGCCAGTGTGTCTGCAGGCATGTGGTGCCTGTGTAATGTGTCTGGCAGGTGTAACTTTCAGTCTGTCTGGGATGGGGATTAGGAGGCTACATGAGCCTGTGGCTTGAGCAAAACGACACAACAAACTAAGAAATGTGAATTGCACATGTCTGCTCTTGCATGAGAGCCCATGCCCCACCGTTCTGATAAAGCAGGCTTGTGCTGTAAGTGGCTTTGGCCTTGCCCATGTTTGAGGCCTGGGGCATCACCCAGGGCTCTTTAATACATCCTCACCCCTATACACTATTCAGCACTGGGGTCTTCTCATTGCCTCCCACACACATCAGGTTCTGCCCCACCTGACAGCTGCTGTTCATACCATTCTCTCAGCCAAAATGCCCTCCTCGGCTTCTCTTCACTTACCTAAATCCCACCTGTATTTTCAGGCCCAAGTTAAGCCCCCGCCACCTCCCTTGACCTCTGGGCTCCTTCTCAAAATAATGACAGCATGGCTATTTTCCAGATAGAGTTCAGAGCTGGATTCAGTGTTGTGTTTTTTTGTTTGTTTGTTTTTCCCACTTTGTTTCTTCCAAGAAATTCCTCGAACACAAGGATCTCCTTTAGTGGGGCTGGGTATAGACAGGCATAGGTTAAAATGATTGATCAGAATGAGAGCTGGGGAAGGGGGGAGACCTCCTTTTTTATTGTGAAATACAATACACACACCGAAAAGTGTGTAGAACATAAATGTGTGGCTTAATGCCTTATTGTGCTATACAAATATTCTGTAACCACCACCCGGGTCAAGAAATAGAACATTGCTAGCACCCCAGAAGTCCCTCTTTATGACATGGGGGAGACATTTCAAAACTGATGATTTTGTAGTTGTGGGCAGAGGAGGGTCCTCAGAGGAAGTGTGAGCTTGGAAATCTCTCTTCTCCAGCTCTCACCCTTGCCTAGGGGGCCTGTGTAGGCCCTGGGAAGGAAGTGCGGAACCCAGGGAACCCACGGCATCAGCATCGAGAGAGGGAGGAGGGGCTGAAAGGAGTGCAGGGTGGGCAAAACGTGTCTGTCAGCCAGAAGCCCCGCCCAGACCCCGCCCCCGCCCCCGCCCCCGCCCCAGGCAACTGTTCTTCATTCCAGCTAGGGTGTGTAAGCAATTTAAGGGCAGACGTCTGGGTGTGGGCTTCCTATCCCTGGCCGAAAGAGTGGCGGCCCAACCTGGGCCTCCAGACACTCAGACATTGCACAGCAAGAAAGGGAAGGGGCTTTCCAGAGCCTGGAGTATGGGGCAACACGCAGAGCCCAGGAAGTGGGTGAGGGAATTTAGAGAAATACTGACTCCCTGGGGGATTTCAAATGCTAAATATGTGGGAAGGGGGCATCCCCTTTGCTGTTTCTCAACAATCGCTTGATGGCCATACATCACATGCCAGGCGCTGTGTAGGCGCTGGAGGTGGAAGACAGAACCCACGAGACACCAGCCCTGCCTCTCCAGCCCACGGTGTAATGGGGGAGAGGAACCAGCAAGGGGGTAATCACCCAACGGTGTGTGGTGGAAGGAACCAGAGCTTCAAGAAAGCTCAGGGAATGCAGGGATCTAGTTCCAAGTCCACTTCCAAGTTCATTATGGGCTCTTTTATAATGCATTGCTCCTACAGACAAGGTAAACCCTGTCGTAGGTGGTTCGAGACATTCTGTCATTGACAACAGATTCCTTAACTTGGAGGCAAGTCACCTGGCAAATGTAGCAGGTTGGTAGTATTCACTAAGGAGAATTTATCCAAATAGATAAGAATCAATTGAGTCCTTATGGACACCTGACTCTGTATAGTACTTTGGAGCTTCCAGAGACAACCTTGGTTCAGAAATGTGGAAAGGTATTTGGCACCTAAAATGGGATGATATAAGAGCCAGGAAAGAACACAGGTTGAGTGGCTGCAGACTCCAGCTGGAGACGTGGTCCCGTGGGCAAGGGGGAAAGAAGGGCACGGAGGGCCCGATCATTGCGATAAGCAGAGAGAGAGGATGAGACCGGCTAGAGGGGGAGAATGCTGGGGGCCAGGGTGCAGTGGTAGGGACACATAGGAGGTCTGTGTGCAGAGAACAGACCGGTTTGGAGGCAGCAAGCAGGCCTGCAGTGGGAGTGAGCCGTGTCCAGAAAGACAGCTGGAGTTGAGCTGGGGAAGGTTTGAAATGTCAGATGGAGATTGGGGCATTAGGCAAAGGAGACCCATCAAAGACTTTGGAGCAGGGCTGGAACTTGGCCAATCCGAGGTTTAGGAAAATTAGCAGAGGCAGGAGCATCTGGCTATAAGCCAAATGCCAGGTGGAGACTGTGCGTGGATGAGGGCTTGGGTAAGAACACAAGGACGGAGCTTTGGGGTGGAAGGAGGTGTGGTGCACAGCCAGCTGGCAGGCCGGATGAGTCAGGGTCAGGCCCCAGGTGGGCGGGCAGCCTGCTGCTGCTCACAGAGCCGAGCAGCTCCCGGTGAGGGTGCGGGGAAGCATACGCTCTGTTCCCTGCCGCCTCCCTGCAGGCTGAGGGAGAAAAGCAGGAGCCAAAGAGTTCATTTGCTCTGGAAGTAAACAGAGACAACCTGAGGAAAACATCAAAAGTGCCCAGAAAGCTTCATCTCTTTTTCAGTGCTGATGAGCAAGGGGACACACACAGGTTTATTCCAAGAACCCCACCCCAGTGGCAGAGCCCGCTCCGACCAGGACCAGAGGAGCTGGTGCCTGCTGGGGGGTGGGGGTGGAGGTGAAAGGGTAAGAAATGCTTCTACTCAAATACTTCACATACAGAATTCACACCTCAATTTCTCCTTTTCAAACACCTGGAGGAAGTTTGCTTGAAAGCACTCGGGTTCTCTCTAAGAGCAATTGGCTTCGAAGTTGCATGGCTGAAAGGTTTCAATCATGGCTTCCCCTCAGAAAGGGGCCAACCCGCTGCCACCTTAGGAAATGTGGACTTTGGGGTCATAAGATCCGATATTGTAGAGAAACAGAAATTCCATTTTAAAAGAAAAATGCATCTATTTTTCTATGTTTTATTGTGGCAAGGTATACATGACATAAATTTGCACCATTTTAACTGCTAAGTACTGTTCAGTGGCATTAAGTGCATTCACGTTACTGTGCGACCACCGCCACCCACCTCCAGAACTTTGTATCTTCCCAAAATGACACTCTGTCCCCATTAAACACTAACTCCTCACCACCCCCGGCCCCCCACCACAGCAACCACCACTCTACTCATGTCTTTACAAGTTTGGCTATTCTAGGTACCTCATAAAAGTGGAACATTCAATATTTGTCCTCTGTGACTGGCTGATTTCACTTAACATAGGGGTTTCAAGGCTCATCCACGGTGTAACATGTTCCTCTATAAGGCTGAATAGCACTCTCTTGAACGAATCTGTCACATTTTGTTCATCTGCCCATTGAACCATCCATTGGGTTGGTTCCACCTTTTGGCTGCCGTGAATAATGAACGCTGCCAGGAACACGCAAGTACAACGATATCTGTTTGAGTCCCTGCTTTCAATTCTTTGGGATATATACTTAAATGCAGAATTGCTGGATCACATGGAGACCCTGTTTAATTTTCTGAGGAATGGCCATACCATTGCTTGAGCGGCCGCACCCTTTCACAATCTCATCAGCAAGCAATGCAGAGGGACTCCATTTCTCCACATCCTCACCAATACTGGTTATGTTCTGGATTCTTTGATAATAGCCATCCCAATGGGTATGAAGTGGTATTTCGTTGTGGTTTTGATCTGCATTTCCCTGATGATTAGTGATGTTGAGCACCTTTCCCCGCACTTATCGATGGATTTTTCTGTGTGTGAAATGTCTATGCAGGTCCTTTGCCCACTTTTAAATGTTTGTTTGTTCTTGTTGTCGTCGAACTGTAGGAGTTCTTTTCCCTTCTGTGCTCCCGAGCACTCAGCTCCAGCCTCGCGCCAGGGAGCACTCCAGCCAACAGCGTCTCCGTGGGGGGTTCCAAGTGTGAGCCTGCAGCCAAAGGGAAGACAAAATCTGGAGTTTACTACAGGTAGTCAGGTCAAATACTGTGTAGTCAGACTTTTATATGTCATGTGTCTAGATGTACATGTTACATACACATAACATGTATGTGTATATATTCTGACTCACAGTGAGAAATATGTTACTGTAACCTGCAGTACAAAACGTTGGAGACACAGGCCCTTCAATCTGCCCTCCTCAGAGAGCAGCTAAGCAACCATCTACTGTTTCTCACGCAGCCCCTTGGAAGGTCTCATTTAACTCACTTATCAAAGTATTCGTCCCCCAAAACAGGCCTCTTCTAAAGTGGGGATGAGATGCTGGCTACCTAAATATAAGCAGTTTATATAGCTAATGTGTGCTGACCATGTCCCACGTGTCGAGTGGTCATGGGACATCACGGGGTGGTAATTCTTCCAAGGCAGGCCCCTCTTCATACTAGGGACTCTGAGGCAGGAGACCAAGCGGCCCATGAAATAAGTCTCTCTTTTGGCCTCAGGCCTTCCATGGGCCAGAGCTTGGTGCGGTGAGAAGTGCGCAACACTTTCTGTTCAAGTTTCATTCCTGATGTCACTCACGGGCTGGGCGATCTCAATAAGGACTCAAAGTCTGCCTGAATGCCATCCAGGTGCAGACACAAGGATTCACCTGTAAAACAAGGATGTTAACAATGGGGTCTGCCGCCCTCTCAATGGAGCTGCAAAAGCCACATGATGTAAGGGGTGAACAAGCTTTGTGAAGTGCTCGGTAAATGTCAGATGCCATGCACAAAATACGCTGCCCCTCATCCTGTCCCCGCTGGAACCACAGTCTTCAAGCGGCCTGTGGGGAGGGAGGCCCAGGCCAGGGCCCCAGAAGTCTCCAGCAAGCCAGGAATAGGTACGAGGTCAGCCAGGAACCCCAGGCCAAGTCTCCAGCCTGTGAGCTGTGGGCAGGAACAGCCCCATGGGAGTGCAGGTGCTCTGAGTGCTCAGAAACACAGTCCTCAGCTTGGGACATATTCAGATGCCGGACACTGCTTTAATGTTGACTTAATTCTCACTGTGATAGGTCCTGGCTGATCTCACCCCTGCTGAGCAACACATCTCAGCCTCTGACATGGAAGGTTCTGGTCTGCAAGGAGGAGAGTGTATTCATCCAAATCTGCCCCTCACCACGGGTAGGGATTTCTGTGATGACCTTATCTGGGAAAGTACAATTTCTGACTCATCTTAATACTTCCCACAGAGTCCAGCGCACAGCAATCACTTAGTAGTAATTATTAGTTGAAACTATACAGATGGGCGGTGAGGAAAGTCTCCCCTACAGACTGTCACAACCTCAGGGATTTGCAACCCACTTTCAGAAGAAAGAGAGGGGGATGGGAAGATGGGAAGAGTGCTGCAGTGGCCTGCCCCAGAGGGACGCCTCCTCCTCTCCTGACCACATTCCTAGAACACAGAGTGCAATCAGAACTTTAAGCCCTGGCTGGTGTGGCTCAGTTGGCTGGGTGTCATCAGAACTTTAAGCCCTGGCTGGTGTGGCTCAGTTGGCTGGGCGTCATCCTGCAAGGCGAAGCGACTCTGGTTTGATTCCCGGTCAGGGCACACGCCTGGGCTATGGGTTCGGTCCCTGGTCAAGGTGCATGTGGGAGGCAGCTGATCTGTTTCCCTCTCACATTGATGTTTCTCTCTTTCTCCCTCCCTTCCCCTCTCCCTAAAAATATATAAATAAAGCCTAAAAAAAGAAAAAAGAACTTTACACATGTAAGTTACCCAAATGAATCTCCCAGGCTCTCTAGTTGAGTCTATTCTACTCAGAAAGGTGACCTGAAAGCCCAGAAGGGCTCCCACAGTTGTACCGTGTCCCACAATCAGTGATGACACTCAACATAATGGCTGACCAGCCACAGTCGTCCTGCCTGAGTTGCAACGGGGTCCTCAAGGCTCCTGCTCTGCCAGGCATTAGCCATTTATGTTGAATCAGAAGGTCAGAGCAGGGCAGGGAAAGGCCCGGGGTGACAGGGGCAGCTGGTGTTGAGGATTCAGGGCAGGGGGCATTTATTAACCAACACGAAATTCACATATTTTAAAAAAAACTTTTATTGTTGACACTGCTACAGATGTCCCCATTTCCCCCTCCTTTGCCCGCTTCCACCCATCACCCCACCCCCTCTTTTCTCTGGCCACCACCACACTGGTGTCTCTGTTCTGAATTATGCATATATGCTCTTTGGCTAATCCCTCCACTTTCTTTCATCCATTCCCCTCCCACCCCCGACAGCTGTCAGTCTGTTCCATGTGTCCATGCCTCTGTTTCTATTCTGTTCATCAGTTTATTTTGTTCATTAAATTCCACATATAAGTGAGATCATATGGCATTTGTCTTTCTCTGACTGGCTTATTTCACTAAGCATAATAATCTCCAGGTCCATGAATGCTGCCACAAAAGGTAAGATTTCCTTTTTCACAGCTGTGTAGTATTCCATTGTGTAAATGCATCACAGCTTTTTTAATCTACTCATCTATTGTTGGGTACTTGGGCTATTCCCAGATCTTGGCTATTGTAAATAGTACTGCTATGAACATATATTCTTTTGAATTAATGTTTTGGGTTTCTTAGGATATATTCCCAGAAGTGGGATCACTGGGTCAAATGGCAGTTCCATTTTTAATATTTTGAGGACACAACATACTGTTTTCCACAGTGGCTGCACCAGTCTACATTCCCACCAATAGTGCCCTAGGGTTCCCTTTTCTCCGTGTCCTCGCCAGCACTTGTTGTTGATTTATTGACGGTGGCCATTCTGACAGGTATGGGTGGTATCTCACTGTGGTTTCAAACTGCATCTCTCTGGTGATTAGTGGCGTTGAGTATGTTTTCATGTCTGTTGGTCACCTGTTTGTCCTCTTGGGGAAGTGCCTATTCAGGTCCTTTGCCCATTTTTTAATTAGATTGTTTGAATTCCTGGTGTTAAGTTGTATAAGTTCTTTATATATTCTGGAAATTAACCCCTTATCACGTGTATCACTGGTGAATACATTCTCCCACTCAGTGGGCTCCTTTACCTGTTCTACTACGTTGTGAAGGGGTTAAAAGTTAGTCCTGCCCCTATGGAATCTGCTGGAAATTTCCACCTTAAAGGCATTAGGAATGCACAGTTTAGGACACTGCTATTGTGTTTGTTGTTTTGTATCCTCAGTCTTTTTCTCTGTGTGTTTTAGTTTGAAGAGGTCCTATTGCTATGTCTTCAATGTAGATTTTTTTTTCTACAATGTCCAATCTGTTGTTAAAAACAGCCAGTGAATTTTTCCTCTCAGGTACTATATTCTTCAGTTCTAGAATTCAGTTTCGTTCTTCTTTATATCTTCTATCCCCCTCCTCCCTATCTTCACATTTTTCTTTAAGTCCTTGTGTATGTTTCTAATACCTTTTAAAATCTTCATCTGCTAATCCCATTATCTCTCATTTCTGGGTTTGTATCTATTGACTGGCTTTTCTTCTGATTACATTTTCCTACAGTTATGGCAATAGTGGATGAAGGGTTTTTTTTGAGGCTTATTTATAAACTTTGTTAGGGGAACATCTACAGATACTTAACTGTAGTGCTAATTTAGCCCTTCTACAAATGTGGAATGCTTCTGGAGTTTCTACTGAATCCTCTGGACATTCTACACCATCTCTTCCTATTGGCTGGTTGAAACTCAAACATCTCCCAACTCCGTGTAGGCCTGAGAACCAACCAGTTCATATTTCCTGGCAGTTCTTCACCTAGCACTGTGAAGCTCACTCTCTGCATGTACAATTCTGTATCAGCAGAAGACTCAAGAGGATCATAGGGGTCCTCCACCTAGAAAAGTCTCTTCAGCTATCTTCTAAATTCAGCAAAGCCACTGTGGTTTCCCCTCACTGTGCTGCAATTCAGAAAGTGCTTCCAGCAGAAAGTTAGACGATAGTGAGCTTGCCTCATTTGTTCTTTCTTGCAGGGATCACAGTCCTGTGCTCTGTGCTGTCCAATCTCCAGAAACAGTGGCTTCATATATTTTGTGCAATTTTCCAAAGTTAATTACATTAGGAAGGTACTATAGGTTTAATGTCCACCCTCCCACCCGCCCCAAATTTATATGTTAAAACCTAAAGCCCAAAGTGTTGGTATGAGTAGGTGGGTCCTTCCACAGGTGATTAGGTCACCAGGGCAGAGCCTTCATGAATGGGAGCAGTGCCATTACAAACAGCCTCTACAGAACTCACTAATCTCTTCTACAATGTGAGGGTACAACAAGAAGTCTGCAACCCAGAAGTGGGCCCTCACCAAACCACACTGGTACCCTGATCGCAGACTTCCAGCCCCCAGCAACATGAGAAATACGTTTCTGCTGTTTATAAGTCACCCAGTCTGTGGCATATTGTTACACTGAGACAGGAGGTAGGCATAGCACCAGTTACTTGAGCATGGCAGACATGGGAACCTCTGCACGAAGCACAATCAACATTACAGTTCCCACTTAAATACAAACCAGCTCCCCTGTACCGCTAGCCCCTCGCTCTAGATGGCTTGCCTAGATGGCTCACTGTTCCCAAGAAGTTGTGTGTTGTTCCTTTTTGCCCTGGTGTGTGGCTGTTTTCCCCAGGCACTCTTATCTTACCCCTATTAGCCTCTTAACCACCGGGGCCAATGACACCCTGCTGCAAACCCTGCCCCAGCACACTCAGAGCAAGCTAGGTACTAACAGCCTCCTCCGAACTTCCAGAAGCCTGTTCTTTATCCTCTACCACAGCGCTGATCACATTATATAGTAATTATCTATTGCTCATCAGTTCCTTTCCACCCCCTCCAGCAATTGTGGCTTTCCAGCTCTTCATCCTCTGCCCAGCAATAAAGCTTGGCATCTAGTAAACCCGAATAAAGGCTTGTTAAGTGAAATACTGGTTAAATCAATGGAGAGTAGGAGCGATAGGAAAAAGAGAAGCCTAAGTAGAGATTCACTGTTCTCACACAGACCACTATGTTTTGACATCTGCAGTTGACACAAAAGGAGAAAAGCGAGCACAGTGCCTACAGAATGCTTAGAAACAAAGTTGATTTCTGTCTCTCAAATCCCTGAAATTTGAGAATTGTTGTTGTTGTTACCACTTGAGGCATTATCCTCTTTGCCCACAAGAAAGGGAGGTTTCTGTTAAGGTCTGTTGGTCCTTCCAGCTAACCCATCTGTGAGCTGACCTGGGGCACCCAGGGTAATTCCTCCCTCCCACTCCACATACACACTAGTGGAATCAGCCAGAGAGCTCTAAGTATTTCTGGCAGTCAGTTTTGGCTTTTCTATGGGCCAAAGGGATGAGGTCACCATCACCAATGAAGTCACCTCTGCATGATTCATCTGACATCAGTTCCCCACTCGAAGTGCTCTGACACTTTCAGAGCTTGTCCCAGACGATCCAGGACCCAGGGTCCTTGACATTGTTCAAGGTTCTGCAGCTGCTCCTACAGCTCCCTGGATCCCTAGTCAATGTCTGCCCCAATAAGAACACGGAGGCTGGAGTCCTGACCTGGGGGAGACCCTGGAAGCCTCCATCCTCCCATCCTGGGACAGATCTTGTCACTCCTCATAAAGGCCTTCCCCATGCCTCCAGCAACTGCATACCTTCTTGTCTCAAAGCTGTTACCAGGAGCTCTCAGGACACATTTTAAAGCACCCTAGAACTCTCAAGGGTGAGACCGATCTCATTCTTGAGAACATTCCCACGTTTATAGATGAGAAAGCTGAGGCCCAGAGAAGCGGGCCTCTAACTAGCCTCACAGCTGGGGCCAAATGTCCTCTCCTGGCTGAGCACACTCCAGAGTGTACTCAGAGCTTCTGCTTCTCACAGAGCTCCTACCCTGTTCTCACAGGGCATCCTTTTGGAAAACTAGTCCCAGAAAATGCTGCCTGAAGAAATGGTCCTGTAGGCAAAGGAAGCAAGTCCTTTCTTCCCCTCTAGAAGTGGCAGAAAACGGCCTTGAACCAAGATCTGACCTCAAGGCTGTCCTTGTCTTTTGTACAAAGTATCTTCCAAATTCATTGCATAATCTAAAGCAACAGGCAATGCAAATGCCCACCCACACTTAGGTGTATTTGGAAGAGTCTGGTGAGATCTTGAGTGTGATTCCACCAGGAACTACCGATAAATAATCCAGGAAGTCCTACTGGGACAATGGAAATCAGATTTGGGGTTTGAGAGTTGAGGCCTCGGAAGGGAAGCACAAGGACAGAACAGTGAGCACTTTCCAAAGTGAAATGTCCTTGAACGCTGGGATTAGCTGGAAGCTTTTGGGATAATCGCTTCGCCTCTCTAGGTCTGTTTGCTTACCTGCAACCTAAGGGAGTCTAAGGAAGAGGGCCCAGTTGACCTCTGGGCTGCCTCTCAATGTGAATAAATGAAAGGAAGTGGTTTGTCTCACGTCAGCAGGGGGTGGGGTCCAGTGCCAGTGTGGAGTGTACCCACTCTCCTCCACCCCTTTTTCCCAGTGCCTAATGTTCAAAGCGGCACTACTGGTCAGTGAACAGGACCTGGACAGCCAGGCGTTTTCAAGCTTTGCCCAGGCAGCTGGACAGGGGTTGCTGCCTGGGTCACAGGCCAAGGCTTAGAGCACCAGAGTGTATCACTCCTGAGGGATCACAACCTAACACCCATGAGGGGCACTGGGGATGGCAAGGGGGGCCCAGCGAATGTCTCCTCCAGGGGGAACAAAGGTACATTTGTGGTGTCCACAGCCAGTGGTGTCTTCCTTTTCTGGCTATTGTGGGGTGCTTCAGTGATTCAAGATGCTGTAACTCTCTTAGTCACCAGTTTTATACTAATGCTTCAAGCTTCTGTTGTGAAGAGAATGGTGGCTGTGGGAAGGGGGCCCAAGCGATAAGCCAGGAGTCCCTGCTTTCCAGCCCAGGGAACACCATCCCCCTCCCCCATCACTCCGCGCACCTTACATTTTTTTTCTTTAACCCTCTAAGTCTTTCTTCCTTTCCGATTTCTAGTCTGTTGTGCACTTGGAGGCCCACGGGTTGGCTCCTGCCTTCCGAGTGGAGTTTAAATCTATATGTATAATTTTGCATGACTATTGCGTCATCGTTGGAGTCGTCGTAGCTCCCCAAGAGGCCTCCTGTCTTCTCTCAGCACTGGGGCCTTTGGACGCTTCCGGGCGCTGCGGGCACTTTCGCGAGGAGCCCTCGGCTCCTCCCAAGCGCTTCCCTCTTGGCCCCCTCCCCCAGCCTTACCTTTCTCCCCTCCCTGCTCCACGGCTCCTCCTCCTCGCCCCCTCTCCGCTGCCCGAGAGGAGAGTCAAGCTAGGGTGAGCCGGCGAGGCCGGGAGGCGGCCGCGGGCGGGGCGCAAGAGCCGGTCTGCGGGCACTGGCGAGCAACCCGCACTCGGGGGAGGTGCCTCGGTCCGCCCTCCTCCAGGGCCGGGCGGGGAGGGGGCCCGGACCCGCGCTGGGCGGGGAAAGCCGTCTGGCCCCTCCCCTCTCTGCCCTCCCCAAAGTTGCGGTCTCCCCCGGGGCCCGACAGTCTTATGATCCAGCGGATCCTCCCGGGGAAGCCGGGCTGGGGAGAGGGCGCGGACGCGGAGCGGCGGGGGCAGCAGGCGGGCGCGGCGACCGGGACCCCGGCGGGGATCCGGGCAGTGACCGAGGCGGCGGCTGCGCCCCGGGCCCGCCGCCCCCTCCCCTTGGGCGGGGGGAGCCGCTGAATGGGGCCGGGGGGACGGCCCTGCTGCGCGGAGCGGCGGCGGCGGCGGCGGACCCCCCAGGCGGGCTGGGGTTGAGCCCGGTACCGGGGCGGGGGCTCCGGGGGGACCATGCCCGGAGGCCGGCCGGCCGCAGCATGGCTCACGGGCCCGGCGCGCTGATGCTCAAGTGTGTGGTGGTCGGCGACGGGGCGGTGGGCAAGACGTGCCTACTTATGAGCTATGCCAACGACGCCTTCCCCGAGGAGTACGTGCCCACCGTCTTCGACCACTACGCAGGTAAGCCTCGGAACTGCTGACTAAGGGGCTGCTCCCCCAGCCGGGAACTTTGGAGTAACTTTGGCGGAGCCCCCTCGCTGCCTCCCCTGAGCGCTCTCCCCACCCCTCCCCCGCCGCGTCCTCCGCCCGGCGGCCGTCCCCACCTCCTGGCTTTGCCTCTAACCATCTCCTTTGCGAACAGATTGGACCCCTTTTCCTACCCCTACTCCCACACCCAGTGCCAGCTCCCCGCACTTCCCAAACCCCTTGGCGTCCTGGGGCGACCTCCTTGACCTTCCCACAACCGCCTCCTCTACTGCCCCAAGCCCCCGGGAAAGCATTTGGGGGGCCGGGCGAGAAAGACGCGGCTACGGGACTTGGGAGAAGGGAGTAGGCTGTAGCTGCGGGCCACCTTGTACCCCGACCTCACGCCACTTCACAGTGAGTCGGGCACAAGGGAAAAGGGGTGGCATCTCCCTGCAGCGCTCTCATGCCTCCGGCTGGGTTGGGAGAGGAAGGTCCTGGTGGGGAGCAAAATTGCCTTAGAGGCTAAGTAATTGTGAGCTTTTCTCCCTGCCCCCATTTCTGCCCCTGCAGTCAGCGTCACCGTAGGGGGCAAGCAGTACCTGCTGGGACTCTATGACACGGCCGGACAGGTGAGTGTCTTGGCCCCTGGCCTACACCCTCTTCCCTTTCCAGATTCAGGGAGCCTGGGAAGGGTCGTTGGAAACTGAGGTGTCTAAGGAGGGAGGGCGTGTTTCCGAGGGGCTGCTGTGAGTCAAGTCTTTATTTCTTTTTTCAAGTCAGCAAATTAGGAAGAGGGAAAAAATCCAACAGCAACCCTAGACCAGCCCATGTAACCCCTAGGCTTTGAAAGTTTTTGCCTGTGTGTGCACCTTCTGTATGGTGCTTGGTGTGTGGGTCCCAAACTCCTGTTGCAAAGTGGCAGCGACCAATCGTGAAGCGCCCTTATTTTTGGTTGCAGATGACCAGGTCTCCCTCTCACAGCCTCTGTCTGGTCCCTCATTGGTGAGTGGTCTGCCTGCCCGAGGAGCCCGATTGGTGGAAAATGGCATCATCTAATACGATGGGAAGGCATTTGGTCCTCGTTATGTTTATTACAACATCACTGCACTCTGGGACTGGAGTCCCTGAAAACATAATTGGTGGTGTTACCAGGGGACCACAGGGAAAAAGAAAAGAAATAACAACCATTCAGCCACTCCCTGGGCCAGGGAGGGGCAGGAAAGGTTAGGAGTTCAGTGTGAATCTTGGAAGAAGGGCTTTATTTATTTATTTTCCCTTGGAAGGCCAGGTGATTTTTTTTGGGGGGGGGGGGAGAGATTAGCAGGCAGAAAGAACTTACACACTTCTCCTGGCAGCCTCTGACCGTTATTTGCAAATTAGAGGTGGCTCCTAAAGGATTAAAGTCTCTTCTCTCTCCCTCTGTCCCAGCTCCACCCTCTTCCCAGACCCCTGTTTGCTGTGGAGCTAAGGTGATTGTGTGATGAAGTTTTGCAGAATCCAGCACTGTGATTAGATCTGAAGACTCGGGCAGAAGTTTCCACATGTCACACAGACTTGGGTCCTTGAGGACATGTGAGCAGCTGAAGGGCTTAGTGAGTGACTTTGGGGACCATCCAGTTGCAGCTTCCTTACCCGTTAAGTGGGGCTTAGCACTGAGCCAGGCACACACTGGGCAGGCGCTCAGTGGAGGTACTGTTCTCTCTGGCTTTCCTAGTTTTGGATTTCAGAGTGATGGTACTGGGTTAGAGTCTGAAAAATGTCTTCTTTGGGAGGTGCCTTAATGTGGCCTCTGGGTTCTAAGCCATTAAGTTAGAGCAGCATCTGAGGATTGAGAAACTGTGGCAGTGGGAGGGGCCTGGAGCAACCCCGTTTCTCCAGTCTGACCCGAGTCAGTACAGGCAGTTCTCCCAGGGCCCCTTTCAGTTGCCTGCTTCCAGCTGTCAGAATGCACGGAGAGCAACTTTTAGGTTGTACAGTGGGTAACTTTTAAACAACAGGTTGAAAGGAGACAGCTTTTAAAGTATGGCCTCTATTGTTAACTTCTGTCACTACCCCTTCTTTCCTTTTCTCCTTCACTTGTCACCATGGCCAGCTGTTGACCATGAGCCCTGTCCAACAGGACAGGGATATGTCAGAACTGTTCTGTGCACATTCACGCCTAACATTTACTGAGTTTCTTCCGTATATCAGGCACGGGCGACCACGTGCAAATATCATTGTATTTCCCCCATGAAACAACCTTATGAGATAGGTGATATTTCATCTTTGCAGATGAGGAAACGGGCTCAGAGAGGCGAGGTTGCTGACCTGAGGTCACAGCTCCTGGGAGGTGTTGCCGGGTTTAGGGCATGGTCTGAATCTGCCCACCTGGAGGTGGTTGTACCTGCAAGAAGCCACGGGAGGCGCTGAGGTACCACCTGGGTCGGTTGAATTGCTGGTGCGTCTGTAGACATGGTATTTGGAATCATCACAGCCCTTCTCTGAGTGGGAGTTGTATGCCACCTTTATAGAGAACCCAGATCCAAAGAGTCATCCAAAATTAGGGCCCACTCACAAAACCAGGGCTTTCCATATGTCGTTAAAATTGCTGTTTCCCGTGGAGATTGTAAAATATACACCAAGTGGGATCAACCGACTAGTGAGGTTCAGATAGCACTGTTGTTGCCCAGGGGCGGGGTACTTCCTCTGTTGGCTGAGATGCATATTCGGCCCCCTTGGTGTTTCTCCCAGTGTCTAAAACTTGTTTTTCGATCAACATTAGTGATGACTCATCTTGCAGCAGTGAAGGGTTTATTACTAATAAGCAATCTTAGCAAAGTAATTATCAGTGAGATTCAATGGTAAGTGCCTAGCGGGTACCTAGCACTGTGCTAAGCACCCGGGAGGTCAAAAGAATACATTTAAGGTAGGGATCTGCCGTGGCCGATGACAGCATGGGTGGAAGTGTCTGCGTCAGATGTCTGTTCATGTGTGCTATATAGGAGATTTCTGTTGTACTCGGTCATTAAAGACTCCATGCTTCTCTGAATCCGTAACAGATTAATCTCACAATAACGATAATGACAAACACATGGGAATTTAAGCCTGGTGGTCAGTAGAACCACGGGCTTTGGAACCAAACAGGCTTGGCTTGGATCTCTCCCTTGCTAGTCATGTGATTCCAACTAAGTTATTTTCCTTCTTTGTGCTCTAGCAAAAGTGTGGATAATTTGGCTTTATAACTTGGCTGTGTTTTAGGCCAGCTTATAATGTTTGATGTATGTAAAATCACGGACACTGTTCTTCACTCATAGTGATGTGTAATATGCTACGAGAAATTATGGTGCTCCACCCTGGGCACCTTTGTGGGGGGAAGGGCTCTCGGGTGGAAGAGGACCATGTAGTCGGCCTGGAGCTGATAGCACTTCCGTTGGGATTCCAGATCCTATACTGTTCTCAGCAGAGGTGTGGAGCCAGGTTTGCACTTGGTAATTCATTCCCACAGTCCCCATCAGCGACCCATGGACACAGCCGAGTGCTCCCTGCTCTAAGTGCCCCGTTGTGTCATCTGGTTTTCTATCTGAATCAGTACCTGCATCCTCCATGGTGGAACACTTAGAAAAACTGAGAGTGTGGTGTGGAATTTGAGGAACAAGTGGGGTGTGTAGGTTTCAGCTGATTCTACTTTGGGAGACAAAACGGAATGAGGAGGAAGCTCAGCACTGGGAAACAGTGACTTTCTCCAAGAAGTTCCCTCATGCACGTGGACACTCACTGTGTTTAATAACAGCAACAATACCTCCTTCTGGTTGGAGCTTCTAGTCTATGTGCTTATTCTTCTTGGTGTCTGACCCCAGCAAAGTTCTGACCCCTAAGCAAACATTCACCCAACGTACATGTTAGGGCACTCAAGAGGTGACTGTACAGCCATATCTCATTTCATTGCACTTTGCTTTACTGTACTTCGTAGATGTTGCAATTTTTACAAATGGAAGGCAAGACCCTCCACCAACAAGAAGATTACAACTCACTTTATTGCAGTGGTCTGGAACAGAACCCACAATATCTCTGAGGTGTGCCTATAGTAGATGACCATTGGCGTTCCAGAGCAGGCTGCTCCCCATGCTGACCTCTGCTGCTATCGGGAGAAAGAGGGAGAGGAAGGAATATGAATGTGTGTGTGTTGGCCAGTGCCAGTCTCCATCCCATGTTCTGCTTGGGGACATCTTTCAATGTCCCAACACACTTAGTAGCATCACTGCCAAAGGGAAGCCCCCTTTCCTGGCCAAGCCCCTGGGTGGTCCAGGAGCAGCTGACATTTTTGACTGCTAAGCATTTCTGAGTGGAAGTTGAAGGCAGCGCCTTCCTCCTCACTGGGGCCTTGTGCAGGGGTCTGGCTTCCGGCCTGGACCTGTGGAGCTTCTCCTTTCTTGCGTAGGCTCTGCTCTGCAGCAGCCTCACTGTCTGTTCG